CATTTAAAAAGGTACATTGGTCAAACTTTATATTTACATGTACATGTTTTTGTTGAACCAAGATGTTGAGTGTGTGGAAAGAACTGATATTGTGGGACACCAAATCACTATACTGTTATAAGTTTGATATATATGACACATGAAGTGTTTCACGTGTGTACGACAATAACTATGAAGTCTGACAAGCTTAGATGAACAATAATCAGTTATCAAATTTTATCATTTATTTCAATCTTAATTGTTATTAAATACCAATTATTTATCGTCATTATTATGGGGAATTTTGAAAATCTAAATAGATGGATGATATTCTACGATGAGTAACAATTTTCACTGTAGTAAGGAAAAATCTTAAACGTCAAAAAGTGAAATTTGAGGGAAAAATCGGTTTAATTATGTTTGCTTTAGAATGTGAAAGAGTATAAGCATTTAGAAAGTTTAGTATAATGTGATTCAAACAATTGTCAATCCGGTACATACATTACGGATTACGAAGTTCAATTTTAAAGTTTGTTATTGAAAATTGCTTTTGATATTTGTATTTATTCTTCTAATGTCATGCCTTGTTGATATCAAGAGTACAATATCACTTAGAAAGTTCCTGATTTTCCCCTTAATTTCTACATTTCCAGCATTCCATTGGGGCAGTGTTGGAAAAACTGAAGATGACTAACTGATCTTGACCTGCAACAGGTATGTGTAATCGAAACCCTTCAGTAAATGATGTACATAAAATTATCCAAATAACTTAAATCCTATGAATCAGAAAAATACATACAAATTACACAACCACTATTTTTGTAACTTCCAACTGGAAATATTTTCCGCTTAAACACATCTCCTTTCAGAAGCAGTTTGGCGGTTTTGGACGAACAAGAAGGTTCGTTCACCTAGAAGACAAAGAAGTGGGAAAGCAGAGGCCTTTGTCCGCAAAGAACAACAAAAGATTCAGATGTGTAAGTAAGCAAATTCTAATCGTTCTCAATTCTAATCTTAACAATTTATTAACAACACCCCACTAATTAGTAGCTGCAAACACATTGTCAATAGCAGTATGAGATATTAGTTATGGAGGTCCGCCTATGGCCCCATTCAATTTCTTGTCTGCCAAAATTACCCCACATTATTGAAAAAAATTAAAAATCTTTTCACATTATTTTCAAAACAATGGATACTTCGTAGTTCTATACATATAATATCAAAGCATAATGTATGTAACATTCAGAAAATAAGTTATAGCTTTCACATGAGAATTTCTCAGAAAAATAGGCAATGACAGTATGAAGTTAGTGTGCATGTCAATGTTTTCTATAAGTCACAACTATTATTTTAGTGAAAGAAAATCTTCTTTCTCAGTCATCAAATGTCAAACCTAAGCTAAGGAAATATGTCCTTCTCTCGCTTGGGTGTCCTCCCAAAAGTTAGACGTCCCAATAGTTAGACGCGTTAAAACAATAAAGGTTATGGTTGGTTGCACTAAGGTTCTCTACACTGTTACCTTCGTTAATTAATGGACTAGTCCAAATGTACTAATCCAAACACAAAGAGACGAGATTTTGGATAATGACAATAACTGTGTTTTATATTGTTTATGTTGGAAAAACAATGTTAGGAAGGAAGTAACTCCATTAGGTTAATGAAACTCATAAACAAAATCTAAGGACAACTAACTTCACAACTTCTAAAATGCCTCTCAAAGAATACAAAATCTATAATCCTGTTTTGATCAAAGTGAACATCGTAACAACAAGCATGCAAAATCTCTGATCCTAGTAAGAATATTTCTGTGTTTCTTATTTGTTAACATAGTTAAATATTTTTCTGGCTCTAAAAGGCTTTTAAATTGTCTATATAGCTTACACCTTGAACTTTCTTCAATTGTACTATTCCATGACTGTATATACATGTCAACTGCAATTTGTTTAAACATTTGAAGAAACTGAGATTCATTACCAACACCTTGAAATAACCAAACATAACTAAATCCATTTGAAAACAATAAATTACGCACATATGAAACATAGTTATCATAACCACAATTATCGAAATGCATTTATTTAGCATATCATAAGCTTTTCTTGGAATTCTTTGTTGATGCATATTTAGAAGTTTAAGCCAGTATTTTATGAAACGTCGTTGTGCATTTATATACATTGGGTAACGTCCACATTCACCATAAACAATTACATTTGGTGTTTGGGGACCAACATTTAAGAACTTCTTACATGCAGTTAAATGTACATTTATTAATACCCCATACTTCGGCACCATACATTTCATTAAGTTTTTCTGCGATTGAAACTTTTGTCACTTTTCAGGTCAAATGATCAGTTTTGCTTTATTGAACTTCGTGCTTATGTGACAGTGGTTTCAGTTTATTTTTCCTCAAGTTTAAGGAACATTGGACAGTTTTCCTTTCTCTAGCTAGCGATATTGTTGACGAATGCTTGTTTGTACTGATTGTTTTATTGTTTTCTAACCTCCAGAAGCTGGAAAGCAGGAAGAAAGTCCTGACAACGATTGACTGGCCGGAGAAGAAGAAGCAGAAAGTTCTTCCTCTCTTGGGGAAAGAGTTCACATTTCTCAAACTGGAAAACCAAATAACATGGATTCATCTACATTGATGAAGAAAACATCCCATACTCACTCCTTTTTATTCCCTTATTGCTTTTAATTATTTATGCATTTTGAAAATTCAGTTTTTATTAATGTGAACATTCCAAATATCATTTGTTTATCAGCAAATTGTTGAATGTAAATAAACCTATCATGACTTTGTGTTCTATTCTGTTATTGGTCATCCTGACGGTTTTACCATTGTACAGTTGTATAAAATAACTGATTTGGTATGTGTGTTGCATGAAACACAACCTCTCTTCTGGAGGAGCGGGTAAGGGGCCGGCACAACAGATTCAGTTTCATGGAAACCACGTTATAAGCTGGGAACTAGGTTGGAAACAACAATAAACTAAGCAACAGCAGGAGCCTTCATGGACGAGAAGGTAAAGTCCCGACATGGATACCATCCAGATACTGGTGCAAAATGTAGTTTGGAAACCAGGTTGAAACCTACAATAAAAGGAAACATGGAAACCAGGTTGAAACCTACAATAAACGAAAACATGGAAACCAGGTTGAAACCTACAATAAACGAAAACACGGAAACCAGGTTGAAACCTACAATAAACGAAAACATGGAAACCAGCTGGATCCTGCTTGGAGGAGTGGGTAATGAATCGCACTGGAAACCAACCGGAAATGGTGCAAAATTCAGTTTCAGTTTATATGGAAACCACAATGAAACTATAGGAAACTACATGGAAACCAACTGTAAATGGTGGTTTCCATGTCGTTTCTTCTCATTTTCAGTGTTCCGGAAACCAACTTACGTTTTTTTTGAAATTTGTAGTCAGTCTCTTGTAGGGTGATCGTATTGACAAGTATGTGGCAAACTTCCAGTTTTAACTCAGTTGTAGGCTGTATTGAAACCTGTATTTTGAACAACGTTCATTTTAAACCTCTTGTTTTCACAATGTCCGATAAGAAACAAAATGTCCAGTAAAGGCCGAAGTCAGATTTGTATTATTTTCTCAAGAAATTTGAGGAATCTTTTGCTTTCATTTTAAATACAATGTCCTACATGTCCAGAGGCCGAGATGTATCTGTATATATGGTCACCACGGTAATTGCTAAATGACCCATGGATCAAGGACTGAAGTTTTTCCTGAGGTCAGATGTGTAAAAAGTTGAAAATCAAATGTTTTGAGTGAGTGAGTGAATTTGTACGCCGCTTTTAGCAATATTCCAGCAATATCACGGCGGGGGACACCAGAAATGGGCTTCACAGATTTTACCCATGCATGTAGGGAATCAAACCAAGGTCTTCGGCACGCAAATGTTTTGAGATAATTGAACTGTTCGAACCATCAATCCATGTTATATGTCTTCTGATTGTTTCGTACAGAGTTGGATTTGCGGGAACCATCAATATGTTCATGTCTCTCTTCGTAGAGAGTTTAATATAGTAAGTAATTACAGAACACTACTTACTCTATTGATAAACCCCCGAAAGCTTAATATATTCAGCACATACACATTTACTGCAGTGCCCTACATCCATGTATATTCATGACTTGCAATTATTCTTCTGACATATTTTGAACAATTAAACTCCTTTACAAAGTATTAGTATATATCACACGCTTGTGTTTATGAATCAGTGATAAATAGTGATGGTACCATGTATATGTTACAGTAAATATATATAATCAGTAAATATGTATATTTACTAATAATTTTCAGTGATTGTGTATATTTACCGATTCCGTCAGGCATTATGTATATTTACAGAAATTTTCAGGAAATATACATATATACTGAAATCTGCATGTACATGTAAAGAAGCTGATCAGACGGAGAATGGCAGACGCAAATTCGACTTACTTAGTTTCAATGGAGGAAACATTTGATGTTATCAAGAGAACTCGGAGGTCGTGGAAGTCCAACATATATTTGTTCATGGAGAGGTGAGGTGCAATTGGGTTTAACGTCGTGCTTGAGAATATTTCGCTCATATGACGACGTGCATGCGTGTGTATGTGTATGTGCGGCTGCTTGTACTAGCCCAGACTTAAGCTGGTTTTATAGTGCTAGCCCACTGAGATACCATGCCGCAGTGAAGCATGAATACCCCACTCAGACACATTATACTGACTCCGAGCCGACCAGTCCTTGTTGTACCCATTAATGCCGAGCGCCAGGCAGGGACCAACAAGAACCATATTTTAACGTATTTTGGTATGACGCGGTCGGGGATCGAACCCGCGACCTTCCGCTCTCCGGGTGGACGCTCTAACCACGACACCACGGAAGCGGTCGTTTGTTCATGGAGAACAAACAAGGGGATATATGGTAAAATAAGGATATCACATTGGTGACACGAGTGTTTTGTTTAGAAATCCTTTCCATTGTGCATCTGAACCCGACAAAACAAGAAATCATTAGATGAATAGTCGATTTATTTCACGATTGATTTGAGATAGTACAAAACAAATTGATTCACATTAACTGTTTCGAATGCTCATGATACATCTTTGTGTGGTGCATTTGGTCTAAAGTCATTATTTGTCTCGACAGAAGAAAACAACAACCTAACAACACTTCCAGCAACACAATAGCAAGTTTCTTGGAGATGCTCCAGAAAGGCCATATTGTCTTTAGAACACATTGAGAGCCTCTCTACCTCCTCCTCCTTCTTTCATTGGCAACTTTGCACAAACGCAAGAACTCATCGTTACACAGGCAGCAGTGTTCTACGATCGGGCCGTACATATGACCACAACCAATGCAGGTGCCCATTCTCGCCATAGCCTTCGTATCAGAAAAGTCCTCTATCACGCATGCCTCGCACGGGTATAGAGGAATGTGCTGTGCTGTTGCCGCCGTTGCCATCATCACCATCACTACCAGCAGGGTTGCTTTCATTGTCTGCATGTTCTTTCTGGGGAAAAATAAAAGATTTAGTCATTATAAATGTATTTTATGAATAGAATTATTAAACATAGTCATTGAATAGTCCGTGCAGCGTTACCTCCATTACTCATTGCAGGATCCGCTATCAGAGTCGAAGATATGACCTGTGCTCTTTTAGCACCACCCTTGTGAGTTTCAGCATTCTGGTAAACGGTGAGGACGTGTTGTATGTTTGCATTCAGCATGTGGGTTGGTCATTCAATATGGGGGTTGGTCATTCAGCATGTGGGTTGGTCATTCAGCATGGGGGTTGGTCATTCAGCATGGGGGGTTCAGCATGGGGGTCATTCAGCATGTGGGTTGGTCATTCAGCATGGGGGTTGGTCTTTCAGCATGTGGGTTGGTCATTCAGCATGTGGGTTTGTCATTCAGCATGGGGGTTGGTCATTCAGCATGGGGTTTGGTCACTCAGTACAGGGGTTGGTTAGGGTTTGGTCATTCAGCATGGGGGTCGGTCATTCAGCATGGGGGTCGGTCACACAGCCGAGGGGTTGGCCTGGGTTGGTCATTCAGCATTGGGTTTGGTCACTCAGCACAGGGGTTGGTTGGGGTTGGTAATTAAGTATGGGGGTTGGTCATTCAGAATGGGGGTCAGTCATTCAGCATGGGGGTTAGTCATCCAGCATGATGTTGGTCACTCAGCATGTGAGTTGGTCATTCAACATGTGGGCTGGTCATTCTGCATGTGGGCTGGGCATTCTGCATGGGGGTTAGTCATTCAGCATGGGGGCTAGTCATTCAGCATGGGGTTTGGTCATTCAGCATAGAGGTTGGTCATTGAGTATAGGGGTTGGTCATTGAGTATGGGGGTTAGTCATTCAGCATAGGGGTTGGTCATTGAGTATGGGGGTTGGTCATTCTGCATGGGGGTTGATCATTCGGCATGGGGTTTGGTCACTCAGCATAGGGGTTGGTCATTCATCATGGGGCTAGTCATTCTGCATGTGGGCTGGTTATTCAGCATTGGGGTTGGTTGGGTTTGGGCCATTCAGCATGGGGTTTGGTCATTCTGCATGTGCGCTGGTTTTTAAAAAACATTGGGTTGGTCATTCAGCATGTGAGTTAGGCATTTAGCATGTGGGTTGGGCATTTAGCATGGATGTTGGTCATTCTATGGTTACAGCGTTCAGCCTTTATGCCTGAGCCATGTGTACAGATTATCAAGCTCGAGAAACGTCTACCCTCACTCACAGGCAAGGCAGTAATATATCTCGACCACTATTACAAAGGTAAACCTGTATCAATATGTGTGATACTGTTTCCTATCGGTTGCTGGTTGACTCTTGTGTTATTGAACTAAATGTTTGAGCTAGTTTTTTATACTCTAAATTTCAAAGTAATCCGTGTAAAACCAACTTTCTCGTGATTGTCTAGCAACTTACATTCATTTACTGTTGGGACTCAAGTTACTCTTTTGTTCAAGTACCTTAGTGAATGACTGTCGGAAAGTTTAGAATTTCCTTGCCAGTCAAATTTGCTCAGTCGTTAGTCTATAAGACATGTTTGAGATCCAGGCGTTTTCCGTCTATATCATTACCGAAGAGGTTTATTTTAGGGTCAGGCCATCAGTGTTTATTTCCCGCTATTTAACACACCGAGTTTATTCTCTCATTGATGTGTTGAATTAATTAACTTGCCGTCAATCCATCTTGTCAATATCTACTTCTGTTATCCAGTTACCTAGCTAATCAGTTAGCGCAATCAGTGATCATTGTCGGGGTTAAATGGGGTTTTGATCTTTTATATTGACGCTCTTTGATGGGAACTATGAACGTTTGCCACGTTTTCAATTGCTACGTTTTTCTTATTTAAGGACACCCGGTGTCAGGAGCAGACACTAATAACGTCATCTGTGGACAAGTCAGCTTGTGAATGTGACTGTGTTTTGGGAAGTGTGTACTGAACGACGGTTTACTAAAACGGTATCTCCCTCGATATATGCGTTATTCCCAGGGTTTTTTATTTCTCAAAAGAAGGAATCAATGCTAATTGGTTTTAATGCTAATTCTCATTCTCATGACTCAATGACTCATTCTCTACACATCAGCCACAGTGTTCACGTCCAGTATTTACGCGCAGTATTCACACTGTCCATTCTTTATACATCAGCCACAGTGTTCTCGTCGAGTATTCACGCGCAGTATTCACACTGACTCATTCTTTACACACCAGCCACAGTGTTCACGTCCAGTATTTACGCGCAGTATTCACACTGAGTCATTCTTTACTCATCAGTCACAGTGTTCTCGTCGAGTATTCACGCGCAGTATTCACACGGACTCATTCTTTACACATCAGCCACAGTGTTCTCGTCGAGTATTCACGCGCAGTATTCACACGGACTCATTCTTTACACATCAGCCACAGTGTTCTCGTCGAGTATTCACGCGCAGTATTCACACGGACTCATTCTTTACACATCAGCCACAGTGTTCTCGTCGAGTATTCACGCGCAGTATTCACACGGACTCATTCTTTACATCAGCCACAGTGTTCTCGTCGAGTATTCACGCGCAGTATTCACACGGACTCATTCTTTACACATCAGCCACAGTGTTCTCGTCGAGTATTCACGCGCAGTATTCACACGGACTCATTCTTTACACATCAGCCACAGTGTTCTCGTCGAGTATTCACGCGCAGTATTCACACGGACCCATTCTTTACACATCAGCCACAGTGTTCCCGTCGAGTATTCACGCGCAGTATTCACACGGACTCATTCTTTACACATCAGCCACAGTGTTCTCGTCGAGTATTCACGCGCAGTATTCACACTGACCCATTCTTTACACATCAGCCACAGTGTTCACGTCCAGTATTCACGCGCAGTATTCACACGGACCCATTCTTTACAGCCACCTGAAATATGGTTAATTCGGTAGGAGATGATACATTAGATAGGGTAATTAGCATCGAAGCAATGATCTTGGTGGCTTTAGATCAGGAGTGTCAGAGTGATGAAGCTCGGCTCATACGATTATGGCACATCATTAATTACTTTCGACTGTCGAGTTGGATGTGATCTTCTGTGTGTTCAACAGTTAGTTGAATTAGACTGACAGTGAACCCTACATTTGAATGAACCAACCGTCTGAAGCACTTACGATGACTGATTGGCCTCGTCTCGCCATCGTGCTCTTCCTACAGAGCTTCACGTACATGCCATTTTGATGGAGAACTTTGAATGTATGGGAGTGATTGTTAAACCCTGCAGTTATTAACGACTGGGGCGGTGGGGTAGCCTAATGGTTAAAGCGTTCGCTCGTCACGCTGAAGACTCGGGTTCGATTCCCCACATTGGTACAATGTGAAGGCCATTTCTGGTGTCCACCGCTGGAATATTGCTAAAGGCGGCGTAAAAACATAATCACTCACTCACCCATTTACCCCTGTGTATGTTGCACATAAACGTAAAAGATATGTTTATGTATTTCTTAACGGGAAATGCCCACACGCCACTAGATAGTAATATTTCTTATTATTTACGCGTCAGTTTCACAAGGTATGGTAAGAATCAATGGTACAGATTGCCATTTTGACTGACGTGTAACCTCTGTATATCATGTCATTCATTCCAAGACGGATACACTGGAGGTGTAAATAATTTGCATTGTAGCCCTGGATCCTGCGTTAACTTCTGAATGAAATAGTTACTTTAATAAGGTTGAACATTGCATTTTTCTTTTATGCGTGATTATACTTGAAACTTAACGACAGAGTGGTTTTAAATTGAATAAGTTGCCTACAGCTCGTGATTTTGCATTGCAAATTGTGTATTACTTTTGACTTTAACGTCCGACGAGCATTTCAGTTCCATGACATCGGTGGCTATTTGCGAAGCTCGTATTGCAATTTAATTTATTTTACTCACCAAGCAATCTTTTCATGCCTACGCTCTGTCAGGTATGATGGAAACTACTTGCATTGGTAATCCAAAATGTATGTAATTCAATAGCCATCTTAGAAAATGGAAGGAAAAGGAGTAAACACAATTATAGATGGACATGTTTCATATTTATGACGTTACATTTCGAATCACACAAATATCATGAAAAGATGGAAGCTGTTGCGAGCCTGCCTCGAGCTGGGCGTTAGAGATGAGACAAGGTCTGGTCGACGAGGAGTCAGTATGTTGTGTCTAAATCGGGTATTTCTGTTTAAGCCCGACATGGTATATCAGTACAAAACACTCATGACATATTAGCAAAGTTTTGTTGTTTTATATATACAACTCCTCTGCCATGATAAGAGGTTCTGCAGTCGTATTGTAGCCTTGTCACACCCAAGGAATGAGTTCGATTCCCAACACGGTACACGTGAACCCACATTATTGGTATCTGTGGAGTCAAATGCTTCACAAATTGTCAAAAGCTTCAAATTTGCATATTCTATCTATCTGCCAAAAGTAGAGACGATTGTATGATTCCTGGTATACATAATTATGTGTTTCTGAATAAAATGTCAGTTGATGATGACACCTTGTGTTCGTGAAGATATGAGCGCACCCTGCATGCTACTACCGTAAATAAATGGAACTTACAGATTTAACGGAGTTGTGTCGGGGACACATAGACTAACAACTAGTCTCTGAAATGAACATATTTTACTGAAAAAAAGTTCATAGTAAAAAAAAATATATAATGAAAAGGAGCCCTGAGACTTTCTTCATTTTCAGAAGCTGAGGAAATCTAGACTTGCCACATTTTCTAGACTTGTGTGGGCTTTCTTGGATGTATTTGCTTCAGGGTCTGTATGACAGACTAGGGGACACAGAGCCATCCGCGTTACATGAAGCCCATTTCTAGTGTCGCTGTCGCGATGTTTGCTGGACTAGTTCTAAAAGCGGCGTAAACCACACTGACTCGCTCACTAAATATACAGTAATTACAGCTTCCCATTAACTTCACATTAAGGAACATATACGTTACATGATGGATATATGTTGTTATGTCTGTGGACAATTTC